TGACATCACAGCTTGAGCCAGCAGTTACTGATAAGAACATGGATGGATATAAAAACAACAGGTCTGTTTATGATGAAATAATAATGAATGATGTTGTAACAGCTAAAAATAAGTCGATTTTGCAGAATAGATCCAGGGGAATAGGTTCGATTCCACCTCCAGACATAGACTGTGGCAGAGGTGGGACAAAGTCATTGTTTAGCACGTCACAAGTCAGTCTCAATTCATTGCCCTCAAGTCCCGAGTCAAGTCACGAGTCAAGACAGGCAAGTCCCGAGTCGAGTCCAAGTCAAAGGCCAACAAATCTCAAGTCAGTCCCAAGTCCTACGGTTTGACTTTCGAGTCCTCTCGAGTCTTTTTGACCGCGATTTGTTTCTTGTTGGTCTCCACGTACTTTTGTAGGCAAACAAAATAATGTTAGGAATCATTTTGCTGGTGCATTCTCGTTGGTCTCTGACCCATGGACTAACAGTTTGTTCCATGTCGTTGGCTGCTGATAAATCAAAACTATCTACGTGATCTAATTGGATGTTGTGCCAGATGCAGGCTCAGTTACACATGCACAGACCACACATAAAATCAGAGCAGTCCGTGTCAACATACTTTTTATCTTTGGGGTTTTTAATGGGAAGTAGCAAGTGCAGCATATATGAATATGAGTATTGGGCTAGGACCTGTATCTATATAATCAGTTTAATGTCCGTAGTGGTTATTGTTCCAAATGTCCTACTGTAGAATAGGGGTAGTATGAGGGGTCTAGGCTTTGGACCTGGGGCAGCTCGCCATCAACTGGACCAGCATTAGCAATATCTCATAATTACCAATATATCATTACATAATAAAATGTCTCATATAAATTAATTCAATCAGTCAAAGCACTGATTCTCATATCAATGCACCATAAACAATAGTGCAAATATTAATCTAGCTTAGTGCACATAATCAAAACAACTATCTAATGTATGCAAACTTTAGCAGGAGGAGCACAGCAAAAACATACTCATAATAATAGGCCTCGGCGCCCACACAGAAAAATATAAGAAAGAGCCAACAGAGCAGCGCAGGCTAGCGCTAGTTTGACTCACCAGTTCCTCTTTAAAACACGGCACACAGTGTGACAACTGCGTCGATTCAATTGTATGAGGCGCCTGTAGTGAAAGCATATCAATTACGGTTTGTAGAACAAAATATGACGTTAGGTCGCGATAAATACCTGCAGCTCGCTCATTTCCAGCTCCCCTAGACAACACACCCTCCGGTGAATGCAGTGCGCTTGTTTAGGGAAGTGTTGCTGCGCGAACCGCGGGGAACTCACGTTCGAACTCTCTCGCGAGCGCTACAACTACCGCGAGGCTTTGTTTCTTCAGAGACGGCATAGATAGAAAGAGAGATGCGGAGAAAGGTAAAAATGGCCCGGGTTACGCAAGTCTTTACAAGTCAATTGGCGCAAGTCCAAGTGAAAGTCAGAGTCATTGATGTTAAAGTCCAAGTCGAGTTGCAAGTCTTTTTATATTTGGTCAAGTCGAGTCTAAAGTCATCAAAATCATGACTCGAGTCTGACTCGAGTCCAAGTCACATGACTCGAGTCCACACCTCTGGACTGTGGATATTAACGGACGTAGTAACGCCTATCTCAGCTCCATTCATTTGAACGAGTGACTTCAAAAATTCACAGCGAGTAAACTAGAGTGGTCCAAGAAAATCCACCCCCCTCAGCATTGACACACATGTGGAAAGGAGCTTTGGGCCAAGAGCCAACTTTTGGACCATCCTGAAAAGACGTTTTTGAGAGGTAAGAAGATGCTATATGTTAGCATTGTCTAATTCTTATTCCGGGTCCACTCCCATCGGCCCGGGGTGGTATTGCAAGAATGTCAGCGCACGTCATTTTGGCCACTTTTGAGCCGGGACCCGCCCCCACTGCCTTCAGATGCATGAAGGCAGTGTTTGCACGTTCTCCTCTTGTCTGCTAGGTTTTCCTCTGGGTGCTCTGGTTTCCCATGTCACTAAAAACATTTACAATAGCTCTAAATGTAATGAGAAAGGAAATACATGGTCATGATCAAAGGTGTGAATGAAAAAATGCAAAGTGAATTCTGGTTGTTTTGTTTCACTTCAAAATTGAGGTCAAGAATGACAGTGTCGTGGCTCATCTAATTAGCCACAGTGAGCCAGGTGTGAAAGGTTTTACTCTGAAGATCGGAGGGACGGATCCAATTAATCCCATGTATTAAACAAAAACAAGTCAGGGAAAATACATCTACACGGCACCAAGCCTATGGTTCTTGCAGTGCACCCAATACTTACTTACACAAACTACTACATTTCACAATTTCTTCATATTCTTTGAGCAATGGAACAATGTTTTGGTTCCATCTGTCTTCTGCCTATAGCTATAGCCTCGAGTCCAGTGCGTGCGGTGTTTGTATTGATCCAGGTCTGGCTGAAAGAGTACTTGGCACCGCATTGTGGCTGGTGTCTTTGAAGCGGCAGGTCATGCAGACACAGGTCACACTGCTGCACAGAGACACTGTTTGGATTGGACCAGCCACGAGAGATAACAGATACATGAAATCACCTTCAAATGCCACTGGATTCAGAAAGAACTGTTCGAGGAAGGTATACAACCAGTCAGGAAAGGACAGGTGTTAAAAAGGACTAAAATACATGACAAGAAAAAAAATGTAAGTACTTCCTCCAGCTACACACACTACAGTACATATGGTTCATGCATTGATTGTCTGTGCGGCAATAAACTGCAAATATACCAATACACCAACGATGTCATGGATGATTTTCTCACTAGGGGCACATAAAAAGATTTCTGACATTCATGACCACAATCTATAGTTTAATGCAGCTGATTTCACTTATTTTTGTGTTTATTCAAAGAATTCTATCACCGGTCGATTACAGAATATAATTTTGTATTATACAGTTTTTGAATGATCATAAACAAAATCTTGGCTATTCGCTTACATTGCCATGTATTCAACTTTCCTTTTTGACGATTTTTTACAATAGGTGGTCAAAAATCTTTAATTCAAACCAAAATGGATATTCATTGATTATTGTTTTGTATTCATCCGTATTATCCCCTGTCCTGAAACTATGACTACACTCCATTACTAACTGCTCAGTTTTTTTTGAAGGGTTCACCTAACCTTAAAACAAAAGTCCTTTAGTTATCCTACACATTGAACACTAGGTTTGTCCTGTAATAAGAAAATCCCCCATATATCATAATTATAACAGTGAGTAATGCTTGTTGTACAGTATGAATCTATAGTCTCCACTATTCCTGCTGCAGTCTGTTAGCGACAGACTCTTGTACTGTGCAGCTACATAACAATAAGAACCGCGGTGATAGTGTTCATTCTTTTGCATTTAAATGAATCGACGTGGACTTTCTCTGAACCTTATGGTGTGTTTCCAACAATAGAAGCAGATGTTTCACCAGCTGTACAATATTGTACTTTCCCTTTCAGGCAGGAGTAAAATTCTGCAAGGAACTCGTACAGTTTTATGTAGCAGAAGCCATTGCCAGATGAGGATTTTTTTGTGTTCAAGGAAAAAAAGCAAGTAAGTAAGAAATCTTTGTGTTTTGTGGGCACTTGTCCTCTCACTCACATGGGAGCAAGGTTGCCATACAGGAGACGCATGCTATTACATGCTTTTAATGTACTATAGGCGGGAGGAGAAACCGGAGCAAACCTACGCCGACACAGGGAGAACAGGCAAACCACACAGAAAGACCTGAATGTGGAATCAAACCCAGGACCTTCTTGCTGTGAAGCGCAAGCGCTAACCACTGCACCATATTTAAGATTTTGTTTATCCCAGCAGAAAGAGTACATTATAATAGTCAAACATTTTGGATACTGATCAGACTAAAACGTAATTATTTTTGCAAAATTGTAAAATAGTGCTCAAAAATGTGATGTGCAATGGTTATTCCTACTTCTGAAAATAATAAAACTGTTTAAAAGCTTTGCTAGAGGACAAAACATGTGGAAGATAATAATGATACCAAAGTGGTCTGAGAGATAAATAGAGACATTTAAATATGTTGGATTCATCTTTGTGTTCAAGTCTCTCAAAATACACAAATGTATCTATATGGGATTTTAATAGTTTTTTGTTATAATTTGTTCAGCTATGACATGTTTTATCATCCAACTTGTTATGTTGTCCTCTGGGGCTATGTATGTATTTTTTAGAGTTTGTTGATATGCCAACAATTCAATACATACGGTACAGGGCCCTTTTAGTTTCAATGTGATTCAATAATGGTTAGGGTTACCGAGTTTCAGTCAAATTTGAGCACGAAATATTACTTTTTTGGTGTTTTTTCTACCTTTTTTCCTATTTGTCTGTTTTTGCCCCATCTTTTCCGTACTAGCAATTTTAGTATTTGTAGAATTGTCCCGTCTAATGCATGCTTTGACTGTATGCTACTAAATTAAATAAAACAGTCTAGATGTATAGTTATATTTCATTGATTGAAGTTGAAATGTTGAAAGATCTTCTTAGTCTCATGCTTCTGGTTGCAATGTGTGGGTATAACAATATTACACAATGTCTAAATATATATCTAGTTAAAGAATGTAGGGCTATCTATCTATTTACTTATCTGTCTAAAATTTGAGCAAAAATACAACTTTATTGGTGTTTAGTCTCCTTTTTTCTTTTAGCTGTTTGATGCATGTGTCCCCTGTCTTGTCTGTACTTGTGTTCTTAGTATTTGTGGAATTTTTTTGTCTAATGCATGTTTCGACTGCAAAATTAAAAAAAGTTAATACATTTTACTGATTCAAGATGGATTGTTGAAAAACCTTCTCAGTCATATGCTTCTGTGTCGGTATAACAATGCTACACACTATCTAAATATATATACAGTATGTATGCAAAATATTACAATATATATATCTCTTAGTAAAATAAACAGTGTGCATCTAAATTTGCCCGTGCATTCAGTGTGTGTGTGTTCCTCTTACAGCATGGTGAACAAGCTGGTGTGCAGACCCACTCGCTCCCTCTACTTCTACCTGGCCTGTCTGTCCCTGGCCTTGCACCTCTCCCTGGTTTTTTTCTGCGTCGCTGTGCTCCAAACGGCCTGTGTCCCACCATCCTCCTCCTCATCGTCCTTCTCTTTAGTATCGGTCCAAAGAGCTGCCAATGATTACATACAAAACATAAGTGCCCTAAGAGACCGGACCCCAGACCTCACCCAGACAGGCGGGACATTAGCGGCTGGTCCGATAGTCAAAAACCGCTCCAAGCTGAAAGACTTGTTTAATCACCCGCTGTACAATCTGTCACGTCCGGAGCTCCAAGAGGACGATTGGCTGATGAGGGTGAAGGTAGACAAAGAGAAAAGTGAGGAAGTAAAGGACAGTGTTTTTGAAAGTAATTGGTGAGTACAGTCTGTGGCTTTTGGCCCCATTCACTGACACGACTCTTGAAAAACATACCATACTGTACATCCACAATGACTAGAGCTATATGTTTACGCAACTATTTCTATTCCAGATTAGGTTTTCAGAGGGGTTTCGTTAAACTGTATAGGGCTATCTGTCTGTTGAGCTCATTGTCGATCTATCTATGTATCTGTCTATCAACAGTATGTCTGTCTTTCTGTCTACCTATCTATCTATCTATCTACTGTATCCATCTATCTATGTCTATATGTGTATCTCTATCCATCTTCTCGTTTACTTTTGAATGCGCTGGAAAACGGCTGCAAGTCGTAAGTAGCTCTGAAACAGTTCTTGTTTTGAGCTTTAGAACTTTGAACTTTATTGCTTTTTCCTAACTGAGATGTTGCCGCAGTACAGTGTTCATGGTTTTACACTGGTCCAGACCAGAGCAGAGATGATTCATGGTTCGAACCAAGCGGATCAGGCGAAAATCCACTGGAGGAATGCTTACTTTTTGAAAAATGCTAATGAAACCTTTAGCATTTTACTTTGGACTAGAGCAGAGAAAATGATCCAAACCAAGCGTCTACTCCACCTTGTGACCTGTCCTGCTACACCAGAGGCTACTCCATCTCTGCTGCTGCGACACGTCCTGCTCCACCTGTGTGCTGTGGCTGATTCATCTATCATTAGCTTTTTAGAATGATAAATTTTATTTTTGCTGCTACTGGACACCTGAATTTCTTCTACGGGGATCAATAAAGTATCTATCTATCTATCTATCTATGTATCAATCTATTAATAATGAAAAGCGGGTTTCCTCATTCATACACTGGACTCATATTAGTATTCTAACACCATTTATTGCACTTAAAGCAGGGGTACCTAGCTTTATTGTTCAATAAATAATAGATTATTTTTGATTGCCAAAAAGCAGGCTTGTTAGGCTGAAATGTTGGGAAAAGGTATGAGAAAACAAGTGTGAAAGAGACTTGTGAGTCACTATTTGACGCTTGGGGCTGAGAGCTGATTGCCTGAGGCCCTCTAAATATTCACTTAGCTGTGTGACAGATGCCAAAAAGACATGCATGTGAAAACTTAAACTGTTTTGAGAGCTGGATTGTATTGGATTGTATTGCATAGTTAAAAGTTAGATACCCCAGCCCTAACTAAGTGTCTTTGTCCGCAGGGAGAGTGCCAGTTTGGAGAAAGGCTTTGACAAGATCAGCTGGACTAAAGACACGGACACACACCCCCCATGGCTGCGCTTTCACCTGGCCATCACACGCCATCAGCTGTACGAGCGCCAGGACCCCATTCTGCAGCAGCTCATGCACTATCTGGCAACCGAACGCATCCTCGGGGCTGGTGAGACCAATTCTCACTTTGAGACGAGTCTTTTTGATTCACTGCAATGAGAATATTATGCAGTATTCAAACTAATTATTGTGTAAGCACCTGAATCCAGCCACAGAGCTCCCACCAAAAATCTCCCGACATTTTTTGTACATATTTTTATTTAACTATTCATTTTATGGATTTTAGTAGGCCTCTCTTATAAAGTTCTAAAGGCTCCACCTTTTGTCTGTTTCACGTCACATTTCTGAAAGGGCGGATACCTGATAAAAAAGAAAACACAATTGAATTAAAAGTAATGAACTGTGAACAAACACAAATAATGGGACAATTTAGACATTAATAAAGCAAAATAAGGCTGTTGTATATATTTTTTTCTTTTTCATTCATTATATTAAATAAGAAAATCACTCGCCGTGCGCAGACCTCCTCCGAGTGGCATAATTCCCTTCCTTAAAAACATTCCAGGGTCAAAAAAAAAATAATTGTTTGTTGCTGGTGCACACTGGGGTAGTCTTGCACAGTTTTTCCAATGTGGTTTTACTGCAAATGGCAAATAAATGAATCTGAATCTGAATCTGCTTGTTTATACAAACAGTTCAATGAGAGCTTTGGGCCTTGTTTATTTATAGTTGCTAGGTAACCTATGTCAGGATGTCACTATGCTCCTCATACCCAGAAGTAGAAATTCAGAATCAGAATCAGAATCCTTTTTATTGCCATGTGAGAAACAGGAAGTCACACATTAGGAAATTGCTTTGCCTCTCGGTGCAAACACGTTAAGCAAAATAAAATCAAAGGCATGCATAAATAAAAATCTACATAAATGTCTTCAGTTTACAAGAGCACTAGGCACAACTAAATCTTTCTTAATAACTGTGTTGTAAAGGCTAAGCTGTCATAAGCACTTTGTATAACCTCATATTACTTGTTGGGTCAAACTAAAATGCATTTATGAATATGTCTGCATTAAATAATCATAAAGATAATAGATATTGAACCTCATAGCGTTACACAATATATTTACTGTGTTACACAACATAATTGGTTATAAACAAATTGGGGTTTCAATTACTTTGCTAAGCGCCAAATTGGCTCAACAAGCGCCATGTTCACCGACTTGATTTATGTAGGTCTTCTCCACAAAGCATGCGCCGTTTGGAGGAAATGTTTGAAGTTAAAGCCAGCAGATGAGTCACAGCTCCACATGGCGCCGCTTTGTGTCCAGATTTCATTCACACAGTAGGACGGATGACTGATGTATTATTAATAATCCCTACCACAATAATCATAGCAACAAACCGCAATTCATTTATTATATTCATTTACTTGCTTCTAGGTATGTATGAAGACAACATCCTGGTGTGTGTGTGTAGGTGTGTGTGTGTCTAGTTTATAACTCCTACAACTCCTTCTGGTCCAGGGCCTCAACTAATTTTTACCCTTAAGCCGCGTTCAGACCTGATCATGCGTTGCGTCGACTTTGCTGAGCGTTTCCTCGGGGTGCTTGTGCAGCAACCAGAGGTGTGGACTCGAGTCATGTGACTTGGACTCGAGTCAGACTCGAGTCATGATTTTGATGACTTTAGACTCGACTTGACCAAATGTAAAAAGACTTGCAACTCGACTTGGACTTTAACATCAATGACTCTGACTTTCACTTGGACTTGCGCCAATTGACTTGCAAAGACTTGCGTAACCCGGGCCATTTTTACCTTTCTCCGCATCTCTCTTTCTATCTATGCCGTCTCTGAAGAAACAAAGCCTCGCGGTAGTTGTAGCGCTCGCGCGAGAGTTCGAACGTGAGTTCCCCGCAGTTCGCGCAGCAACACTTCCCTAAACAAGCGGACTGCATTCACCGGTGGGTGTGTTGTCTAGGGGAGCTGGAAACGAGCGAGCTGCAGGTATTTATCGCGACCTAACGTCATATTTTGTTTTACAAACCGTAATTGATATGCTTTCACTACAGGCGCCTCATACAATTGACTCGACGCAGTTGTCACACTGTGTGCCGTGTTTTAAAGAGGAACTGGTGAGTCAAACTAGCGCTAGCCTGCGCTGCTCTGTTGGCTCTTTCTTATATTTTTCTGTGTGGGCGCCGAGGCCTATTATTATGAGTATGTTTTTGCTGTGCTCCTCCTGCTAAAGTTTGCATACATTAGATAGTTGTTTTGATTATGTGCACTAAGCTAGATTAATATTTGCACTATTGTTTATGGTGCATTGATATGAGAATCAGTGCTTTGACTGATTGAATTAATTTATATGAGACATTTTATTATGTAATGATATATTGGTAATTATGAGATATTACTAATACAGGCCAGGTTCCTTCCCCTCCATTGGTCCCTTCAGTCCTTTGGAACAATAACCACTACGGACATTAAACTGATTATATAGATACAGGTCCTAGCCCAATACTCATATTCATATATGCTGCACTTGCTACTTCCCATTAAAAACCCCAAAGATAAAAAGTATGTTGACACGGACTGCTCTGATTTTATGTGTGGTCTGTGCATGTGTAACTGAGCCTGCATCTGGCACAACATCCAATTAGATCACGTAGATAGTTTTGATTTACCAGCAGCCAACGACATGGAACAAACTGTTAGTCCATGGGTCAGAGACCAACGAGAATGCACCAGCAAAATGATTCCTAACATTATTTTGTTTGCCTACAAAAGTACGTGGAGACTAAAAAGAAACAAATCGCGGTCAAAAAGACTCGAGAGGACTCGAAAGTCAAACCGTAGGACTTGGGACTGACTTGAGATTTGTTGGCCTTTGACTTGGACTCGACTCGGGACTTGCCTGTCTTGACTCGTGACTTGACTCGGGACTTGAGGGCGATGAATTGAGACTGACTTGTGACTTGCTAAACAATGACTTTGTCCCACCTAAGGCAGCAACCAATCAGAGAGCAGCAAAGTGGTCACGGGACATTAGCGGTCTGAGCGAGCAGACTGAACATACTCGTAAACAGCCAAAAAAGGAGCTACACCAGGACTAAACCAGGTTTGACAATGGGGGACATTAGTGCTAGTGAACATATTGCCTTTTTGTGCTCCTGTGACTTTATGCAACTGCTTCGAGCGTGTTTGCCGATGCGGAAGTACCGTTTAATAATAAAATAAACGTATGGCGCACCTCCGTGAACACATACTGCTGTTATATAAAGTCTCTGGAAGGTCTCTGGACACAGAAACGCTGCAGAGCTTCATCATTGGAGAAGAACTTTACACAAAAAGCCGCTAACTTAACTCCGTTAGCATCACAGTCCGCCCGCTACTTCTCCCACTTCCTGCGCGGGCCACCACAGCCCAGGACTTCTGGTGTGAAGATCCCTGCGTCTGAAAATTAGAGAATGCGCGTCTGGTGCGCGAGGCGTCAGCGTTCCAGCGTCAGCGGTGTGAACGCACCTTTACAGCACCCCCTGTTGGAAAACGCTGGCTTAGACAATTGACCCCCTTTCAAAAGAAGTGGAAGAGGAAGAAAAGCGATAAGTCTTAATAATATTTAGGACTTCCGTGACATAATTATCACTATCTATAAGTGCAGTATTTTACATTTATATAAGATAAACTGTTGGTCCCCCTGTAAAGTGCCAAATTGTCGCTGTGTTTTTAGGCAAGACACTTTACCCACATTCCCAAGAAGAATGAGCCCATTGTGTGTGTGAATGGCTGGTGGTGATCGGTGGATCGATTGCACTTACTGGTTGTCTTGCTTCTGTCAGTGTGCCCCAGGGCAGCTGTGGCTACAGTAGTAGTTTATCACCATTGTGTATGGAGTGAAAGAATGAAGATGGGTGAGTTGATAGCACTCTCGCTTCTCATCAAGAAGGTCCTGGGTTCGAATTGGTCCTGGTCAGAACAGGGCCTTTCTGACTGGAGTTTGCTTGTTCTTTCCATGTCTGCATACAGTAGGTTTCCTTCGGGGGCTCTGGTTTCCCCCACCACTAAAAAAATGCACAATAGGTATGAATTTAATGAGTGAGTGAGTGAATGGATGGTGTTGTTTGGCTTTGATGCCAGTGTGTTTGGGGTTTCGCTTCTGTCATCACTGTGTGGAGAGAATGAAAAATATCTGAGTGACCTTGAATAAAGATTACTTACTTACTTACATACATGTGAAGCATCTTTGAGTGTCCAAAAAAGAGCTGCATAAAACCGATATATTATTATCTTCCGTGCCCCTCTGCTTTTCCTATATCTTTGCATACGATTAGTATACATGTTTCAGTTGCATTAAAAACAGATTGTTTAGTGTTTGTGTGCTTTAGTTAGTATCTTCCTTTCATCTTGACTCTTGTTTTCTTTCTTTCTTGCATTCAAAAAATATTATTTGCATTAGAAACACAAAAGAAAATCATCATTCTAATAAGTCGCTATTAGATCAGAAACATCCCACGTCTATCTTGTACAACAGACACACATGCAGCTAAAACAAATCCCATTCAGTGCGAACCCGTTTACCAACATAAACACACAGAGAAAACATTTATCATCAACTTCCACGCTTTGCCTGCTGTTTGAATTACAGACATAATAACGTGATTCTTCAACTCCGCAGACATCGTCCTCGTTTGTCAGACAACACTGAATAATGCATTAACTTTTGGAAATTAAATGCTAAACTCCACCAGTGCCTCAGTCTCATCACAGAAGCCTGTCTTTCTTCTAGCACTTAGCACACAGAACAGAGTACAGCTTGACTTTAATCTACATTCTAAAAAGGTATTATAAATAAATATGACAGACATTAGGTTTTGATTAATATTGTCGGATTTGGCTTTTGAATTATTTACGAGGCGTGTGGGTAAAAAGATGGAGATCAGCATGCAGCGTTGCACACACAGTCCTCTGGCTTTGGAAAGAGTTCAAGTTAAACACTCGGTCCATTCACTTGGACCCAGCATTAGTGACTTATAAACACATATGTAAAATTCAAATGTATTTTCAGTCAAAGTTCTAATAATAATGATAATGCATTGGGTTTATCTCGCACTATTTTGAACACTCCAGACGCTCCACATCTAATTATTCACTTACTTCATACACGGTGGTTGTATTCTACTGATGAAGCCACAGCTGCCCTGGGGCTCACTAACAGAAGTGAGGCAACCAGTATGTGCCATTAGCCCCTCTGACCTCCACCAGCCACTCATACACATCAGACTCATTCAAGGCAATGTAGGAGAAATGTCTTGCCAAAGAACACAACAACAGCTTTGCATTTCAGTCACCCCACTGTGGCACATGGTGTTTCCAGAGGTCTCCCATCACAGTACTAACCAGGCCCTGTCCTGCATAGCTTCAAAGGACTGTCAGTATCTGGCTTTCACATGCAAGTATGGCCACAAAACTCATTGTCCTAGTCTGTCAGTCAATAATGATAATTACATCAACCAGAAGGTATGTCTGTCTCTTTTTTTTTTTTACATTTTCCCTAAACCCCGAACATGCAATAAGGATTAGAACTAACTCAAACTGACTCCCTGAGGATTAGAGCTAACTCAAACTGACTTCCTGAGGATTAGAGCTGATTTAAACTGACTCCCTGAGGATTAGAGCTAATTTAAATTGACTCCCTGAGGATTAGAGCTAACTTAAACTGACTCTGGAAGGATTAGAGCTAACTCGAACTGACTCTGGAAGGATTAGAGCTAACTCAAACAGACTCCACGAGGATTAGAGCTAACTCAAACAGACAGCATGAGGATTAGAGCTAACTCAAACTGACTCCATTTAGAGCTAACTCAAACAAACTCCAGGAGGATTAGAGCTAACTCAAACTGACTCTGGGAGGGTTAGAGTTAACTCAAACAGATGCCTGCTACAGCTAGCTAAATTTGTGTCTTTATTTGTATATCGCTTTTCAGATCAAATAGTGATGAGGTTGCTGTACAGTAGGTTGCATTCCAAAGAGCCTATGGTTTAAGCTGTGGTCGAGGATAGTTGAAATATACTGTATGCTGGTTACTAGGGTAACTGTCAAAAGTCTGATTCTAGTCTTTGTTTGGAGCTAATTTCTCAGTAAACCCTGGGACAATCCACATAAAACTTAAAATATCACACAGTTTTACATCTTCTGTGTCAGCAAAGACCAACTATGGTTGAATTATTAAAAAATATTATTTTCTCATAAAGAAGTCTAGAAGTGGCATCAATATTCTGATTTATATGTGTGATACTGTGGGGCGACAGTAGCTCAGTTGGTAGAGCATTGGCCTTAAGCCCAGAAGGTTGTGGGTTCAATTCCCACCTCTGCACCTTCTCCATCGACTCCCACTGATGACTGCTGTTGTTGTGTCCTTGGGCAAGACACTTAACCCCACTTTGCCCAAAGCCCCCACTGAAAGATCAAGGCTATGCTCACATAGCCGTCCTCCTGTGGACTCACCACCTGCAGAGGATCAGTGAGGGGCTGGTGCTATGAGACTTGGGTGGCATCTCTGACTGCCACCCCCCTGACCCAGAAATGGATTAAAGGGTAGAAAATGGATGGATGGATGTGTGATGTTGGTCAGCTGAATGGACTTTCAGACAAAAAGCATAAATACAGTATAAGATAAGATAAGAAGAGATACCATTATTTGTCCATTAAAATGTCAATTTCCTAGTTGTAGCAAATATGGCAGCTTTTTAAATCTAATAAATCTGAGAAAAGATTTGGAAATTTACTTTTCCACATTTTTCTCAAAAATAATAATAATAATAATAATAATAATCTTTATTTGTATAGCACTTTTAAAAACAATGTTTACAAAGCGCTGCACAGTCAGCATTATAAACAATAAAAACAGTCAAAATACAAGGTCAAAATAATTAGATACAGAAACACAAAGCAAACAGAGCAAAACACCAAAGAGACACACCAAAGACAAAGCAGACATTAAAATACAGCATGTGAAGTTTAAAACTAACAGTTAAAAGCTGTTTGATAAAAGTGGGTTTTAAGAAGTGTTTTAAAAGAGGATACTGATGGAGCCTTATCTCCTCGGGCAGGTGGTTCCAAAGCCGAGGAGCCCGGACAGAGAAGGCTCGGTCACCTTTCGTCCGGAGCCTCGACCCTGGCACGGTCACAGGGACCTGCCCGAGGATCTAAGGCTGCGGGGGGGCTCGTAGGAGGTTAAAAGTTCAGAAATATAGCTTGGTGCCAGACCTAAACAAGCTTTAAAAGTAATCAGTAAAATCTTAAAATCAATTCTAAAACGCAGGAGCCAGTGGAGGGACACTAAAACAGGGGTGATGTGCTCCCTTCTGTTAAAACCAGTGAGAAGTCTGGCTGCTGCGTCTGGACCAGTTGGAGGCGGGAGAGGGATTTAGCGTCGAGATTGGAGAGGAGGGAGTTGCAGTAATTGAGGCGGGAGAAGATGAGGGCGTTGACGACTTTATGGAGATCGGGAGGAGTGAGAAGGTTTTTAATCTTTGAGATGGTGCGGAGGTGAAAGAAGCAGGTTTGGGTGGTTTTATTGATGTGGGAGCGGAAGGTGAGGTGAGAATCGAAAATGACACCAAGGTTACGGGCGGAGGGAGTGATGTTTGAGGACAGGGGCCGAGGTGGGTTTGGATGTGGGATATAGATGGAGGCGGGTTGATGAGGAGGACTTCTGATTTGGAGGTGTTGAGTTGAAGGAAGTTGTGGGCCATCCAACGGTTCACATTGTTAAAACAGTCGACCACAGCAGACAGACTCCAGGGTCGTTTGGTCTCAGCGGGAGGTAGATCTGTGTGTCGTCCGCAGAGCAGTGGAAGGACACTGCTCTGCGGAGGGGGGGGAGCATATAAATAGAAAATAAAATGGGACCTAAAATAGAACCCTGCGGCACACCACAGGTAATGGGGGCTGTAGAGGAGGTAAAATCACCCATGGTGACCGCAAAGGTTTTGTCTAAAAGATAAGAATAAAACCAACCAAGTGCAGTTTCTCTGATGCCAACCCACGTTTTGAGGCGATCCAATAAATCGCCAGAGTTGTGTTGGCTCCTGCTGAAATCCTGAAACATAATTCTACATCATGAACGCAACCTATTAGTGTTTCACTAATTCACTCCAAGTGTATCCACAGTACAGCTGCACTGGTCCCAGAAGCACCTCTATCACTTTTGAATGTTTTGTGTGTCTTTGTGCTTTGATGCATTTTTTGTGTGTTCTTTGTTTTGTGTTTTTTTGTATTTTTTTGTATGTTGTGTGTGTTGTGCGTTTTGTGATTTTGGCCATGTTTTGTGTGTGTTTAATGTGTGAGTTAGAACAAGTGCATGGATAAATTGAGCCTAATTATCACAAGAATTTAAACAAAAACATTTAAAGAAAAACAATGTTAGATAGATTGGTAGATAGATAGATGGATAGATAGATACTTTATTGATCCCCGTAGGAGAAATTAAGATAAGATAAGATAAGGCTGTAATGATCATCTCAGATTTGTGCAAAAGACAGAAGTGTGCAAAAAATATTGTCTTTTCAGGATATATTATGTACAGTAGAAAAAGTGGCAATTAAAGAAACAGTGTCAACAGTAGTTCAGGTTTTTAGTCCTATAGTGGAAGTGACTTAAAGTGACTTATTGTACAGTCTGACAGCGGTGGGGATAAAGGCCCTGCGGTAGCGCTCCTTCTTGCGCTGAGGGTGCCTCAGTCTTCCACTGAGAGAGCTCCTCAGCTCCTCTACAGTCCTGTGCAGTGGGTAGGAGGTGTTGTCCATGATGGAGGTGACTTTGACTAACACCCTCCTGTCCCTCACCTCCTCCACAGAGTCCAGGGAGCAGCCCGGAGTGGAGCTGGCCCTCCTGACCAGCTTGTTCAGTCTACTCCTGTCCCGCTCTGTGCTGCCCGGGGCCCAGAGCAGGACAGGAGAAGGAAATTCAGGTGTCCAGTAGCAGCAAAAATAAAGAATAAAATTGATCATTCTAAAAAGCTAACCATAGTAATAATAAGCAACAGCCCTTCAGGTCACAGCAGCAGAGATGGAGTAGCGTCTGGGTGGAGCAGGAGGGGTCATAGCAGCAGAGATCATAGCACATTACAAGTAACAGGAAAACTACAGGCTAAAGGTGGGACTGGGAAATGAAGCAGTATCCATGTCGCTATTCTTCTTTTTCAGTTCAGAAATCAGGAGGCACGCAACTAAAACTGGTCCTCTCTTTTCCGAACTATGGACAGGCTCTGCTCAAACCCATGAAGTAAGATCACATGTGTTTGTGGTGTTGTCTCCTGTTTGTATCTGGTCCTATGTACTTTTGTGAGTGTAATATTACAGACAATCCAGAGACGCAGAGACCGACTTGAACCTCTACTACTTCTCAGATTTTGAGAGACACAATGCAGAGATCGCTGCTTTTCATCTGGACAGGTACAGACGCATACACTATATATTTAGAAAACTCTTTAATAATCAGACTTGCCAAAGACTAAAGGACGACAACTCAGATTGTAAATAATTAATGTTTTGACTAAGTTCGTGTAAGCCCTCAGTCGTACAGGGATTAGTCAAAGCAAAGGAAGGTTTCTCACCCATCATCTGTACTTCTTAGCAAGTTTTCCCGACGTTTCGTCCTCAAACTAGCGGACTTCTTCAGGGAATGAATTCTCGGACCGCGCGTTGGAGATTTATAACCTATGGGTGTGGTTAGCCACACCCTAATCCTGATACTAACTCATAAACAATCTAAGGTCTGATGTAGAAGGGAGCAGATCTAACGACCCCGCCTCACTAACTGAGAGTGAGGCGGGGGCCCTCAGACTGAGAGTCTCTGCAACACTCAAAAGTGCGAAGCCCCCACAATCCAATGTCTCATTAGATGAGCAAAAAGCATTATTGGCATTACAAAAGGATGAGAGTATAACTATTTTATCAGCTGACAAAGGCAGATGCACAGTTATCCTCAACAGCTCAGACTATGAGGCCAAAGTTAATCAGTTACTCTTGGACACCAACACGTACCAGCCATTGAAGAGGGACCCTTCCAGTGGGTTTAGGAAAAAGATTATAGACTTCCTTCAGAGCTTAGTGAAAGAGGGCATTATGGAAAAACCACTATATTACAAACTTTACCCAGGAGACACCATCCCCAGTATTTATGGACTCCCAAAAATACACAAACAAAACTTTCCACTTCGGCCTATTGTATGTAGCATAGACTCTATCACCTACAACCTGGCTAAACACCTCAAAACCATTCTGGCTCCTTTGGTGGGTAACACCCACCATCACATAGAAAACACAAAAGAATTTGTAAATAAAATCAAACACCTCCAGTTTGACACAGATGAGACAATGGTCTCGTTTGATGTGACATCGCTTTTTACGTCGGTCCCTATTACAGAGGCGGTGGAGGCTGTAAGAGAAAGCCTACAGAAAGACGCCACACTAGGGGAGAGAACGAAACTAACAGCTGACCACATCTGTGAAATACTTGAAATGTGTCATAACACCACGTATTTCCAATTTAGAGGCACCTTCTTTAGACAGATTCATGGCTGTGCGATGGGCTCCCCAGTCTCTCCTATAGTGGCCAATCTGTATATGGAGAAACTGGAGGAACAAACCCTGGCCTCTTACCAAGGGACAGCGCCAAGCCATTGGTTTCGATATGTAGACGATACATGGGTTAAGTTAAAGAAACAGGAAGTGGAACCATTTTCAGAACACATTAATTCGGTGGACCCTTTTATAACCCTTCACTCGCGAGGATGCTAAGGAGAGTGAACTCGCCTTTCTAGATTGTAAGGTCATCATACTGGAGAACGGACAATTAGAGACTGAGGTCTTCAGAAAGTCCACTCACACTGACCAGTACCTGGCCTTTGATTCAAATCATCCGCTACAACACAAACTCGGGGTCATTAGAACGCTTCAACACCGAGCCCACCAGGTCCCCACAAGCTCGGAGGGAAAGAACAGAGAAACCAAACATGTTCAGAGAGCACTTTCCAGATGTGGCTACCCCAAGTGGTCTTTTACTAAAGCCCAAAGGACGAGAAAGGCCAGAGACACAGTCCAACAGACAGAAGAAAGTAGGAGGAGAGGGGTGTCCTTACCGTATGTGGCGGGAGTTTCAGAGAAACTACAAAGAATCTTTAGGCAACACAAAATCCCTGTGTATTTCAAACCTTTCAACACGTTAAGACAGAAATTAGTGCATCCCAAAGACAAAAGACCCAGACTCAAACAGAGCAATGTGGTGTATTCAATTAAATGTAGTGAAGAGGAGTGCACTGACCACTATATTGGAGAAACCAAACAAACTCTACAGAAACGACTTTACCAACATCGTAGAGAAAACTCTAGTGGGCCACAGTCGGCTGTTCATCTCCACCTCAAGGCCTCCAACCACACGGTGGATGACACCGAGGTTAAAATTCTGGCTCGGGAGAAGAATTGGTTTGAGAGAGGGGTGAAAGAAGCCATTTTTGTGAGGAAACAAAAACCTTCTCTTAACAGAGGAGGAGGGTTAAGATTTGTTTTGCCTCGCATCTATGACGACATCCTAAAAACAACGCCCTAACTTGGGACAAGGTCAGTGACATGCTAATGAGTTAGAAGGGGTGAGACCTGCACTCCACTTGAGCATCCCAGCAGACAATAGGTCTGTGACATGCTAAGGAGTTAGGGTCGTTAGCCTCAGCAGGGTCGTTAGATCTGCTCCCTTCTACATCAGACCTTAGATTGTTTATGAGTTAGTATCAGGATTAGGGTGTGGCTAACCACACCCATAGGTTATAAATCTCCAACGCGCGGTCCGATAATTCATTCCCTGAAGAAGTCTGCTAGTTTGAGGACGAAACGTCGGGAAAACTTGCTAAGAAGTACAGATGATGGGTGAGAAACCTTCCTTTGCTTTAATGTTTTGACTGTTTTTGGGCTGTTCTGAGCTTTAAAATGTCATCAGAACTGTCCCCCTCCTTGGTGATTGTGAGCGTTACAATGAGATTTAACACGAGCTGATGTCGATGAACTTGTGATTTAAATCTCAATGGCACTCGGGCCGTACTCCGGACTTCTCTGTTTAGAGCATCTTAGAAAACTGTTTTGGCTCATATCAATACACATCAATTGATAAAATCCATCCCTTTATGTCAACAAAACTACACTCCTTAGAAGAAACCAGGTCTTTGTGTTTTCAGAGTGCTCGGCTATAACAGGATCCCTCCCGTGGTCGGGAGGCTTATTAATGTCACTTCAGAAATCCGAGAGATCACCACTGACCGTAAACTGTCCCGGACCTTCTTCAAGTCTCCAGGTGCAACCGCAGAATCTCCCCCTCCTCGTTCCTTTAGGTCTGTGACTTACTTAAGCCTGTGTCTCTGCCTCTAGTTGGTAATGTGTGCTTTCATGGCCAGTGCGAGTACTACTGCTCCACAGAGCACCCCGTCTGTGGCCAGCCCCACACCCTGGAGGTTTCCCTGGCTGCGTTTCTGCCCGATCTGGACTTGGCCCCCCGCCGGTCCTGGAGGTCTCCATGGAGACGCTCATACAGTCGCACCAAGCTGGCCCAGTGAGTTCACGCAAAGAACACTATTGCATTCATACATTTTCTGTGGCTGTTAATTCCACATGTAATGAATGATAACATAATCTGCCTGTCCAAAACTTCCATGTAATATCTCTGTAGGTTAAGTATAATGGGGCATTCAGAACGCTGACGCTGGAACACAGCTTACGCACGCACTGGACACACATTCTCAAAATTTCAGAAGCTAGGGGTGTTCAGACCAGGAGTCCTGGCCTGCAGTTGCGCCCACCGGAAGTGGCAGAAGTAGCGGGGGGGCTTTGATGCTAACGGAGTTAAGCTATAGCGGCTTTTTGTGTAAAGTTTTTCTCCAAGAATGCAGCTCTGCAGCGTCTCTGTGTCCAGAGACCTTCCAGAGACTTTATTTTACAGCAGTGTGTGTTCACAAAGTTTGTTGAGCATGAGTTTGTTGTATTATTAAACAGTACTTTCGCATCGGCGAACACGCTAGCTGCACTAGTTTAGTCACTAGAGAATGAGGACAGCTGTAGTTATCTGCAGTTCATCCAGAGTGATCATGGGCCTCTTGACTGCATCTCTGATCAGTCTTCTCCTTGTTTGAGATGAAAGTTTGGAGGGACGGCCGGGTCTTGGTAGATTTGCAGTGGTCTGATATTCCTTCCATTTCAATATAATTGCTTGCACAGTACTCCTAGAGATGTTTAAAGCTTGGGAAATCTTTTTGTATCCAAATCCGGCTTTAAACTTCTCCACAACAGTATCTCGGACCTGCCTGGTGTGTTCCTTTGTCTTCATGGTTCTCTCTGCGCTTTAAACAGAACCCTGAGACTATCAAAGAGCAGGTGCATTTATACGGAGACTTGATTACACACAGGTGCATTCTATTTATCATCATCAGTCATTTAGGACAACATTGGATCATTCAAAGATCCTCACTGAACTTCTGGAGTGAGTTTGCTGCACTGAAAGTAAAGGGGCCGAATAATATTGCACGCCCCACTTTTCAGTTTTTTATTTGTTAAAAAAGTTTAAATTATCCAACAAATTTCATTCCACTTCACGATTGTGTCCCACTTGTTGTTGATTCATGACAAAAAATTTAAATGTTATATCTTTATGTTCGAAGCCTGAAATATGGCGAAATGTTGAAAGGTTCAAGGGGGCCGAATACTTTCGCAAGGCACTGTACATAACGGGATACAAAAGAAGGTTTTGTTGAGTTCTCAGCGCTCTCTAGTGGCTTCATTGGGTAACTGCAAACAGCTTCACAGCTTTAAGGTCCCAGGTTTGTGTCCACCTCCAGACGGCCTTTCTGTGAGGAGTTTGCATCTTACATGTTCTCCCCATGTCTGTGGAGGTTTCCCCTAGCACTAAGAACATGGACAATAACTCCCCTCCCTCTGGGGCCAAGACTTCCCTAAATAAGGGAAGATTTGTTCTTTACAAGAACAAATGAATCTTTTGCGTATGTCTTCAAGTGGTTTAATGACTGTTATATCATGGCGTCAGGTGGGAGAAAGAGCCAGACTACTGTGACACAGTGAAGCAGACGCCCCCATACGACCAGGGCACCAGACTGGTTGATGTCATCGATATGGCCATACTGGACTTTCTCATGAGTAAAGATAATAATACTACTAATACTTTCTAGCACTTTCCTTTGATTTTGACTGATTGTTTCACCTCCACAGGCAACATGGACAGACATCATTATGAAACATTTGAAACATTTGGAAACGAGACATTTCTGCTGCATCTGGACAACGGACGAGCGTGAGATCTCATAAAGTCGTGAATGTTGTATACAAGTCTTTCATTTATCGTCTTGTAGGTTTGGCCGGCACTCCGTCGATGAGCCCTCTATCCTCACTCCTCTCAAACAGTGCTGCAGGTACATCTGGATCAATACAATAGATAGATACGAGAGCCTTTACTTGTCTCTTTATTCTGATTTGCGGCGCACATTCAGGACAGCAGTAAGAGCACACAAAATATACATAAATAAATAGCTATTAATGCTACATATCATGAGCAATAATTATATATCAATATTAGAGATACTCAAGAGGAGCAGTGTGTAAATATATAAGATCTAAGTTTACACAATTCACACAGTATTTTCTTTACCAATACACCTACAGTCCACATGTGATATGTCGTTGATGCTGCATAGGTTTGACTAAAAACATTGGCAAATAAAACTTAAAGCTCTTACAAGTGGAATGTTTATGTTGAGTTAGTCAACATTCCATTAATTAACCTAAATGTATCATATATATTAATTTATCAAAAAAGTAGATTTTCTTATTTGTTTCTGTGCAAAACCATCTTGTCTCATTAACAAACATTGTTTTAAACGTATACTTAAATCTTGATTCAACAATTTATTTTCCAATATGTTGATATTTTGAGTGAGCGAATGTAGACAATCACCAATGAAAACTGGAATTTCACATGCTGTAGTTATTGGGACATTTATTAATCGGAATCATGTATGGACGACTGCTGTTGTAATTTAAAGCTAAAGACGAATAAATTGATTGACATGAATTCAATGAATGTATACAAGGTGACGTTTCAAACATTAACTTCAATGCCAGAAGACAGACTGAAATTAGAGTCAAAACACGTCTCCAAATGATCATTGTATATATTCTAATGTGTGAGATGAAATAGCTCTAACAAATAGTACCATCAAGTTCAAACCATTTCAACCGTGATCCAAAAGTTTACTTAATTCTAATCAAACCCTCATCTCCAGGATCCGGCGCTCCACCCTGCTGCGCCTGCGTCTCTTGTCACATCCCAGCTTCCGTCTGTCAGACGTGCTGCGTGAGTCTCTGTCCCAGGACCCTCTGTCTGCTGTGGCCCCTCTGCTGTCTGAAGCCCACCTCTCTGCTCTGGACCGCCGCCTCCACACAGTCCTGAGAGCCGTCCGCCAGTGTCAGGACAAGCACACAGATGTGGTTTATAACGACATGGAAGACATGGGTCAGACGCAGGACTGGGCAATGCTCTGACAGACCCTAAAGACTTATCAGGGAGGGTTATCACTCACTGCAAAGGACTGTTGCTTTATTTGTTTCTTATGTCTTTTTAAAACAAAAAAAGTTTTAAAACAAGATAGGAGTTTTTGACTTTACATTATCACAGTAGCTTGCAGCATTTATGGGCAATTGGGCTTGTTATACTGTGGCATGGTAAACTTTATTTTAAACCTTATTATCTCAGGAAAACAACCATTTAAGATGATAATTGGTCGGACCACTTTATTCCTCATCATTATCAAACCCAGTTATTTGCTTTGGTCGCTCTGTATTTGCCTTCTCTGCATCAAAGAACTGGAATGATCACCAACCAACTTTAGAGTTCACACTTGTTTTAACATGATTGTGTGTTTTTTTTCTGGCATATACCAGTAATGAATGAATATGCCATGTGTGGGTTTCCTTTGCAAATGAGAATGTGTTGTCACTTGACCTTCCTGGTGACATATTGAATAAAAAACTGCAGCTCTACATCTCCTGCTGTCGCGGGCAGAAACGTTAGATATATTTTACAGTCGCATACAGACTTTAATGATCAATTTACAACAGTGTTGGAAGGAGTAGCTTTTGATCAGAGAGCACACATTTCCCATGATACAAGCCTTCACCCCTTTACCACCCATTTTCTGTTGTAAGTTTAAGCTACAACACTCTGTATACATGTATTTACTGCAATGTAAGAATTTGCACCTTTATCTGCTATTTTCTATTTTTCACAGCTGTTTATCTTGTATGTGCTCCTTTCATTCCTACTGTTATGTAATATGCACAGCAACACTGAAATGGCCCCCACTGTTGGACTAATGAAGGTTCTGTTAATTTATTTACACAGGAAATCCCATTGCAACACAGACCCAGCTGTTCAGAATATTCCGTTTAGAGTGTTCTTGCCTGACACTAAGAAATGTATTGTGTCTATGAGATTGTCTGCCTGAAACATGTCACACTGTAAAAAAAAAAAAAATGTTGAGTCAACTTAAAAAAGTAAAGCAACCAGCTGCGAAGCTTTTTTGAGTTCACTCAACTTTCAAGATATATATTGAGCAAAATTAAAGGACGAAGTTGGGAAAATTTCCTGTTGTGTTTAAATCCCACTTATCTCAATAATTAAAAGGGAATAAAAATTTTAAATCAGTCCAACTAAGAATAGTGACTTGACCAACCTGACAATTAAAAATTGGCTGGACTTTAAACAAATATCTTCAAATATCAGTTATTAATTCATCCAACTCATTCTAGAGAGTTGGAACAAGTACAATGTTAAGTCGGGTGAACTCAACGTTTTACATCTGGTGGCTTTACTATTTTAAGTTTGGTCAAATACCAATAGTTAAATTTCTCAAACTGATTATAGAGAGTTGAATCAAGTACAATCTTAACTTGCTAACTTAACTTGAGTTAACTCAAATAAGCTTCGCAGATGGTTGCTTTACTATTTTACGTCAAGTCAATTTTAGAAGCGAAGTTCTGAGGATTAACATTTACAATTTAGGCAATTCCTTGTATAAAAGACACATTCCACAGAATGCTGAACAGTTTAAATATCAACAGATAAAATGACTGAAGGGTCCCCTTAATGCATCACAAGAAAACAAGATTAACATGAGACATTTATTAAACATGTTAATTAAAACGGTGTCCCCAGAGTTTTGATATTGGACTGAAACATGCACGGACCACAGGCTAATTTTAAAAGCACTGTCATACACATAATGAAAAGCTTTAAAACAGCTTGAAAGACAAAAACAAAATGTAGACTTAGTTTCTGTCAAATAAGTGTTAAATAATTGCACTTTACAATGTTTAACAGCAGCAGTGGGTGACCTGAAACTACATTCAATCCCATCAAAATAGAAAAAAATATTTCAATTACTTAACAGCAGCAAGTTCTCATTAAAAAAAACATTTTCATGTAAACACATTAACATTTTGCTTTTGAAGGATTGCACTCCAGCTGGGCATTCAGTATCGGTCAGCACTACATCATATACGGAATCGGGACGGAAGCGGAAGTAAATATAACAAACTACCTATTCATGCCTAAACTTAACCAGCCATTCCTATAAAATAACCCCAACCCACCCTTAACCCTAACCTTAACCATCTTAATCAGACGCCTAAAATTTAACCAGTCACTACTTAGACTTATTAGTCTAAAACTAATTCGAACTAACTAATTTAATTAGCTTTAGAGCATATTTTATCGAGCCATTCTGAAAGAATGGACTGTCCACTTTCATCAGCAAAAATAATTGTTTCTAGCTTGTTTCATTCCCCTGTAATCCTCAGTCGAGTAGAGGGAAGTTTTACAGAAATCACCAGTCTCAGACAAAAAGGTGAGAAAAAGAGGTGCATCAAGTGCATCGTGTTTTCGAAACATCCAGAGGCAGTGCTGATGCTCCAAAGCTAATCCCCATACATATTAGATATAATAGATTTAAACACATATTAGGTAGTATGACAGAAAATCGTGTTTCAGAAGAAAATGTTCCTTACCTGGGAGATAGAGACGTCAAAATGCCTACGAATCCACCCTACGTCGCCTGTTTGGACACAGCCAATGGCTGCTTCTCTCGGGCACATGGTGGTGTGGTGGGGCGGAGCCAGTGGGGGAGGGTGCCAGCTCAAAAGTGGCCAAAATGACGTGCGCTGACATGCTTGCAATACCACCCCGGGCCGTTGGGGGTGGACCCAGAAGAAGAATTAGCCAATGCTAACATATAGTGTTAGCAGACCTCTCAAAAACGTCTTTACAGGATGGACCAAAAGTTGGCTCTTGGCCCAAAGCTCCGTTCCACATGTGTGTCAATGCTGAGGGGGGTGATTTTTTTTGGTCCACTTTAGTTTACTCGCGGGGAATTTTTGAAGTCTCTCTTCCAAATGAATGGAGCTGCGCCGGCTGATGCATGCGCAGATGCGTTTTTTCACAATTTTCTTGTGGGCGGGACCACTCGCGGCCATCTTGGATTGCTCCATGAAAGCACTTTTCATGGCCAACTCCTATGAACGGCGGAGATAGGCGTGACTCTGGCCATTAATATATACAGTCTATGGGCGGAGCTAGTAGAAACTCCAGGGGCGGAAACACCCTACATTTTACTTAAAGCGCAAGCGCGAACAATTAGCCGTCAAGGATTGGTAAGAGAAATTGTCATAATAATTTATCTCAAGTTTTTGTTTTGCAGTCACTGAACGAAGCAACAAATTAACAATGATTAATTGCGTTTGTGAGTTAACTAAACATTTAACAGGGTTTGAACATTCACTGCACTTATATATCTAAGTTCAGATAACAAATGGGCTATTGCTTGCTTGCAGTCACGTGACACATAAACTTCCGGTTGACGAAGTGGTGGTCAGGCCAGCAAGAGTTGCTGCTGATATATGAAGAAAATGCGACTCTTCCGAGTATTTTTTTGCTTTTTTGGATATTTCATGACACTTTGAAGCTACTGTGGTGAACGTTCTAACTCATCATTCTAACAATATGCACAAGGCAGAATTTTTCCACTACATGTTTTGGTAAGGGTTAGGGTACCGCGGCAAATGCTAACATGCTAATAATGCTAATAAGTCTCCATTCCTCCGCTGTATGTCACTTACATTCTGTAACGTCTATGTTTATGCTGCCTCTACCATCGACAATAAAACATGTGTTCTGTCTGAATTAAAGACTCGATCCTAGACTGTCATTTTCTTCACTTTAGATTCTAACCCACAGCTAGTGTTACAATCAAGCTTTTGCACTGCTAAACAACTGAAGGTTTGGAAAAACATGGATGCTGCAACTTTTCCGTCTGTCTGTGGGTTTAAGAACTCAGAGTTAAGGTCCTGAAGGACAAATCCTGCGTCGTAAAGAGCCGTGTAAGTAACGATTGGTGTGAACTTATCATTCTCAACAAAACAATGCGTCTGTGGCTGTGTTCTTTTCAGGTCAAACATTCACAGTGATTATCTAAAACGCCGACTCACACCTGACAATTCATTAAATAAAGATGGGGATGTAATAACTGCATTGTGACTGCACGGCTGGGTAAATAAATAATCCTTCAAGGTAAAAGCGTTTGCTAGTGAAATGTTAGCGAGCCACTTTTCCTGCGTCTTTTCGTAAAGTCCTGAGTGCGAGGCTCTTTATTAATATCTTCACGAGGATTCCTAAAGTATCCATTAAAGGTTTCACGACTCGATCGGTTAGAAAACTTAAAACAACACATGCAAAAGGCATAAACAGACACGCTGCTCTAGTGAACAACTAGCTCAGCGGACCACCACTTCGTGATACGCATACGTAATGAGGCGATGTGACGTCAATTGCAAGCAAGCAATATGTACGGGGAGGCGTGACGTCTTTTCCTGTTAACAAAGCACAGCCCGTTCACTTCCTGCCTATGCTATCCTATGGCATTTAGGTGAGTTTTAGTGACGTTATTTAGTAATTAGATTGATACATTCAGCTGTGAGACTGACCCAAAAGTGTCGCTGTGCTTTCTCTCTGAGGAAGAGCTTTGACTGTGGCCAGCGATTTTCAAACTTTACAAAAACACAATGACAGCACAATCAAAGAGCACTGTTGTGTCCCAAAAATGCCCCGTATCCTCACAGTTTAATTCCCGTTTGAGCATTATTTGGGAAACTCGTGTAAACCACTGCTGAACTTCAGTGAAACTCAAGCCGTTTCCCGCAAACAGGAAGTGAGGTGGGGCCAGTGGGGGCGGGCCCCAGCTCAAAAGTGGCCAAAATGATGTGCACTTACATGCTTGCAATACCACCCCGGGCCGATGGGGGTGGACCCAGAAGAAGAATTAGCCAATGCTAACATATAGCATTGGCAGACCTCTCAAAAACATCTTTACAGGATGGACCAAAAGTTGGCTCTTGGCCCAAAGCTCCGTTCCACATGTGTGTCAATGCTGAGGGGAGGGAATTTTTTTGGTCCACAGTTTACTCGCTGTGAATTTTTGAAGTCTCTCGTTCAAATGAATGGAGCTGCGCCGGCTGACGCATGCGCAGATGTGTTTTTTTACTATTTTCTTGTGGGCGGGACCACTCGCGGCCATCTTGGATTGCTCCATGAAAGCACTTTTCATGGCCAACTCCTATGAACGGCGGAGATAGGCGTGACTCTGTCCGATATTATATACAATTGTAAATTACTTTTCTGTATTCACAGCATTATTCTATGCTTTTATTTTGAAAGGAAAAAGACCGGAAATGAGGCGACCTGTTGTTTCCGTGCTAAGTTGCATTTTTGAGACGGAGCTGTGGAGATGAATAAATTACCTCCAACGATCTGGCTTCATCTTTCTTGTACTCCCATACCCTCGGTTACACAATCTATGGGTTGGGCTTTAGATAAAACGCGGAAGTGGTGTGTGCATAGAGCCCATAGCAAGTTGGGTTTTTTACAGTGCAGGACTTTGTAACAGCCGCACACACCCTGCTCCTCCTCTCACTTGAGCCCATATCACATGGAAAACGAAAGTAAAAAACAGTGAGGGCGACGTCTTGGAAGCCTACACTGGTACATAATGGCTGAGGCTAAAGGGAATATTTTGTTTAATTTTTTTAAAAACCATAAAACTCATCTGTCAAATATGGAAAACCCGGAATGGTTTGTGAGGCGGCTCCAGGACTCTGACCTTATTCCTAAGGTAACATGTTTTATCACATTTTCTTCCAGTTCAATAGATGCTTACAACTATTTTCTGTGAAGGAAGTAAACAGAAATGCTACTGCAGCAGAGTTATATGATGTGCTGGAAAATTTTGAAAGGGACAAAAAGAATTTAATTCCCCTCTTCTGGAAGTGTGTGTTTGAAAAGCACATCATAGAGAAGTATCCAACACTCAAGGAACTGAAGGAGAAACTATATAAAAGTAAGTTACAATACTTAGTCCACATTTTTATTGTGTTTAAAGCTCATTTGTGATGCACTTTTTAAGAGACAGGAGTCAGAATGGAGTCAGAGTTGGAACATGAGCGTGCCGTGACGTCCACTGGGCGCGTGAGTGGTCCAGTGCCAACTGTAACAGTACAAGAGCCAATGCTACCAGGTCCACGGTGGACCTGGAGGGCCGGAGTGGGACAACATTTCAGGCCGGGAGCTTTTCATCCATTCAGGCCAAACAAGGTTCTAAATTTGGGTTTTTGTCATTGTATTTTGATGTTCTTTTAATAGTTTTAAGATTGACTGTCAAAACTTTTGTTTTCTTTATTTTTTTTTTATATTGACTGTTTATATAATCTCGGACGTTTAATTTTTGCGAGATATTCAAATAAATATTTTTTTTCACTACGAGCTAGAAATCACAATACGTGGTATATATATATATATATATATATATATATATATTATATCCTGTACACTGCACAGGATGTTTTGACTCCAATGCAGACAAGATTTACATGGGTTTCAATGGGAACTGAGTTGTCCCATCTCTGCTCATAAGTACAAACTGTAATGCGCTGCAGAACGTGTGTCTATACTTTATGTCAAATGTAAACGGCCTTGTGTCACTGACTTACCCCTGTGTTTTCATCACGGCACATGTGAGTCCAACAACCAATGAATAGCACTAGCGCCGCACCGCAAGTACACTGAGTCGGGGTGCGTTCACAGACGGTGGAAACCGTAGGAATTTTTAGTTTTCGGCGGAAACAGTGCGGAGAATACAGGAGGGAGGAACTTTCTCTCGTTGCGTTTCAACAGAGAAAACAGATTTCACTCAGTTTTAAATGGAAAACAAATTGTCTGCCGTTCATGACACATAATATGAACTAATTCACGTTCAAGTTCTTTATTAAAAAATGTGTTGCGTTCAGTTCAACGTTCACAAAAAAATGAGCGCGTTCAATGAACGCGACCGTGAGGATGAAATTAAATTAAAAGAAAAAAAAAAAAAAAGACCGTGATGATAGGGCAGGCCCAGGCCACTTTGACACGCAGGCCACCGGGAGATCTCCCGATGCTCCCGATGGCCAGTCCGGGCCAGGGTCCACCAGTACCAGTTCGAGTGCCAATGCCACCAGGTCAACCGGTACCGGTGAGTAGGGTTGCCAACCGTCCCTTGAAATACGGAATTGTCCCGTATTATTGAAAAACTATGTGCGTCCCGTATTGAACTGATACGGGACGGCTTTTGTCCCGTAGTTTCAGAGCCACCTTAAATGCATCACTCACTCACTGCATGTCACACGCGCGACACACACACACACCGTAATGTCAGTGTCAAAGGGGCGTAGGCTTGATCACAGACGTTGGTTTAATGTTGACGTCATTTTCCCAGATTCGGACTTCCGTGGTCAGTAGCTCACGAAAGCTACTTTGTTAAACAAAAGTAATTGTGCTAAAATGATCATCTCTACGTTGATTTTACAAATTCAATGCGCTGTTTTAATGCAGAGAAATCCTCTGAATCCCCTGCACTGCAAGCGCCGAGAAAAGCACTTAGGGGCCGTCAACAAATATCCAGACCAGCTTTGTAAACGAACAATAGCTTTTACTGAAGCCATGTACACGCACTAAACTCTCAGACGCTATAAATTAATGATGACCATATCGAACTGCTACAGACTTTGATTTGTGAGTTTTTTTGATGAATACATATGTTTTTCGGTTTTTATTTGCTTTTACAGAAATTGGTCTTTACTGTAACATTCATAAATAATGTATGTTTTTATTACTAATAAGAATGCATGAAGTCCTCAACCAGCCAAAGAGTTCCACCTATTTATTCAATTTCATTTTTGACTAAGGATTTGTTTTTTTTTAATATGTAGTCAATAAATTACAATATAAAAATTGTGTTTATGAAATTCCATGATTACTGTGTAGACTGAAATTAGGACTAAAAAGTGCTCAACCCGATCCACCCAAATGGTGTCCCTTATTTTTTTGTTCTCAAGTTGGCAACCCTACCGGTGAGGGAGGATGAGCAACCTGGACCGTCCTTTGATGTCACTCGGCCTCCAAGACGAGGGCCCAGCTCCTGTAACTCAAATTTTAATATCCAACATTTACACGAGTTTGCTATAGTGATAAAATCAACTGCTGTGTCTGTATTTTCAGTGCCTACAACAACAGTACAGTATCCTGTAACATGTGGAACCCTGAGAGGAATGCTGGATCCAAATCGACTGGAAAGGGGAAAGGGTGAGAGACCAAAAGGGTATTTATACTTATGTAACTTAAGTTTAGGTAGATCAGTCCTTCCTCAGGTGGAGGAGATTGAGTATCTCAGGTCTCAGGACTATCTCAGGTTTTGATCTCTGCAGAGTGGGTGAGCGCTCACTTAAGATGTTGCTGCTGCTTCTCCACGTTGAGAGGAAGTTTCTCGAGCAACGGTTTCAGACAGTTCCCTGCCTGTTGAGGTGTTCTGGGTATGTCCCACCATAAGGAGGTCCTTGGGAAGACCCAGGACACACTGGAAGGGTAAAGACTCTCAGCTGGCCTGGCAACGAGAGCTGGAGGAAGTGTGTGGGTATAGGGAAGAGAGAGAATAGTCTGGGCGTCTGCTCAGACTGCTGCAAATGCAATGTTTTTTTCATGAGCAAAATATGCTATGATAATATATTTCCCAAAATCCTTTAAATACTTAGCAAAAATTGTGTGTGTTGTTATAGTTCCAGGAAAAACTAAGTGCATCCTGGTTGATAAGGACTGGTACACGCCTTCTGAGTTTGAAAGGAAAGGAGTAAAGGAGAGGTGTAAAAACTGGAAAACAAGCATCCACTATAATAATCTTTCTCTCTCCAAGTACAACCTAAATGTAAGTTTTAACATGTCATCCCATTAAACCACATTCCCTTTTGATTACAGCTTTCTAATGTCTATTTTGTTTACATTTTTCCTTTCAGAATGGATGTCTGTGCAAGAAGCCAAAAACAAAAAAGAGAAACGTTTTGTGACTGAGCGCTGAACAATTTATGAGAGGTTGATAAAAGGGAAGCGTTGTGATCAGGTCAAATCACATGTAAATAACATTTGCATTTCAAATGAGCATACTTTTTGTAGCCTCCTCCTCTGACAATGTTCATATCCATCTTAAAAACAGTTCTGTTTAGCTATGAATACAACTGAATGATTGCATCTTCACTATTTTTAATGTACTATGATTATTTTTAATTCTTTGTGTGATTATGTTTCTTTTCTTGTGTTGTTAAGCACCTTGAGTTGCCTCGTGGTTGAACTGTGCTATAGAAATGAACTTGCCTTGCCTTCATTAAACTGCTGCAGAGACAATAGTAAACTATGTCACAGCAACAGGCAGATTATTTTTGAGTTGATAAATGTAGTCAAAGTCATTTTAATTATCCTGGTTAAAAAAAGGTGAATACAAATATTTGTTTGGTTCGTCTATTCTTCATAGTTTTCCCTTTCATAATCGCACAATTAATAAATGATTAACCATTTATTCATTCATTCATTTTCTACCACTTTATTAGTCCATATCTGGGTCGGGGGGTGACAATCAGAGCTACCACCCAGTACCACCCAGCACTGGGTGGTAGCTGTGCCCCCACAGGATGGGGGCACAGGAACGAACCAGGACCTTCAGCACTGTGATGGTTTTCAGCCGAGTGTGAAGCGGCTGGGCCTGGGATCAGCACCTTCAAATCTAATGTGCTAGAGTGAAAAAAGGTGCCTTGCCTTCTCTGGGTGGGTGGAGTTGCTGTTCCTCAAGTGGAGGAGTTCAAGTATCTCGGGGTCTTGTTCACGAGTGAGGGAAGGATAGAGTGTGAGTTTGACAGGCAGATTAGTGCAGCGTGCACAGTTATGCGGTCGCTGTATCGGACCCTTAGGTAAAGAGGGAGCTGAGCCAAAAGTGCAAAGCTCTTCCAGTCAATCCTTGTTCCCTCCCTCACCTATGGTCATGAGCTTTGGGTAATGACTGAAAGGATGAGATCGCAGATACACGCAGACTCAGAATGGCTGGGCGTTCCCTTGGAGATAGGGGGAGGAGCTCAGTCACACGTGTGGAGCTCGGAGTAGAGCCGCTGCTTCTCTATGGGGCGATGAGCCAGTTGAGGTGGCTCAACCATCTGCATGTCCCACCAGGAGAAGATGCAGGGAATGTTGGAAGGACATCTCTCAGCTGGCTTGTACACACACCTCCTGCTCCTCCTCTCACCTGTGCCCATATCACATAGAAAAACTAAAGTAAACACAGAATATAGATTTCATAGAAAGGAAAGTTCTGTTTGACTTTTTCCGTCAGCATAAAAGTTTTTGTGTCAATTATGGAAAACCCAGAATGGTTTCTGTGGCAGCTCCAGGACCACAGCCTGATCTCTGGTAAAACGTCTCCTTGATCACATTTTCTTCCGGCTCAATACAAGCTTATGTGCCTATGCCTATATCTTCATATGCTGTGTTCTTTATGTACTATTTTCTGTGAAGGCACTACAAAGTAGATAGGTCATTGCGGCAGAGTTGTATCATGCACTGAAAAATATTGGAATTAATATGAGTCATTTAATTCCCCGCTTTTGGAATTGTGTGTTTGAAAAACACATAACAGAGGTATCCAACGCTAAAAGAACTGCAGGAGAACCTGTTTAAAGGTAAGTTACAGTAGTTTCAGCATTATTGTGTTTAAGCTCATTTGTGATGCAAATTTTAAGAGATAGTCAGCTGATGCTAACGCATGTGGACAGACCTGTTAGCATCAGCTGACTATCTCTTAAAATTTGCATCACAAATGAGCACCAGGTAGCATTGGCACCTGGTGCCGATGCTACCAGGTGCACTAGTACCTGTGAGGAATCATCAGCAGCCTGGATCGTCCTCTGATGTCACTCGGATCAGCTTCTGTATCACTACCTTTATTTGACAAGTTAATTTCTGAGGTTCAGTGAAAAGTCAATTGTTATTTCTTTTGCACTTTCAGATATAAATAAAAATCTGCTTTTACCTTTTAAGAATGGATGTCTTCTCAATAAGCAAAACAGAAGGAGACATGTTTTGTGACACTGAGAACTGAACAGTTTAACACAGAAGTTGCTAATAGAGAAGTGGCGTTTCATCAGGTCAAAAAACATGTAAATAACATTTGCATTTTAAATGAGCATTTTTTGCAGGCTTCTACTCTGACCATGTTGAAATCCAGGTTAAAACAGAAGGAACTAGAGTATTTTATTTCTTTGAATGTGACTATTATGATGCCTTGTGTGATCATAATGTTTATTTTCGTGTTTTGTTATGCACTTTGAGTTGCATAATGTAAAAACTGTGCTAAATAAATGAACTTTTCTTACTATTAAAGTGCTGTAGAGACAAAATCCAACCAACAATAAAAGACAGATTTTCAGTAGATAATCTGAAACCTAGATATTTATTATCATCCTTGTTAAATAATTTTGTACTATTTATATATTTTGTCTATTTTCATTAATACTTAACAAATCACACAATTGTCAAATAAATTGCATGTGTTGTGGAATTTTTCTACAGACTAAAAATAATGTAATAACCCTGTAACACAAAGTCTGAGTAAATGTGCGTACTGTAAATACAAATGTGGCAGTGAGGAGTGTGTCTGCAATCCGTGTATCCGTTCTTTTGATTTTCTAAATAAAACCAACATTGAAAAAACGAATAACGAGGGATGTTTTTAATCCGTGTACCCTTCGATCATTAGTTATTCCGTTTCAAAATAAAATCAGAAAATCCAAATTTCCATTCGTTTATTGTTCTTTTCCTTTTCTAAACTTGAATAAAAAAAATAAATCCTTTATGCTTCAATATCAATGTGTTTGTTTTGGCTCTAGTTGTTTAAAATTCTCAAAAGAATTATGGCATTACTATTTCGTTTTATTATTATTTGCGACACCGGAAGAGAGAAGAGACCTCGCGGAAGGGGGGCTACAGACGCGGGGGTGGGACCCAGGGACTCCCCTGGTCCCGGGCTACCCGCGGTGTGAATTTGACGCGCGGGGGACAAAGGACCAGAAAGTTATGGCCCTTGGAAACCACCGGGGTGACCGCGCGTCTGCCATCCGCCCAAGAGCGCTCATTTTGGGGGAGGAGAAGCTCGGCTTCCAGGGCTTGTCAAAAACGAACCAGGGGTGCTAGAGACACGGGGTTTTCACCCACGCACTCCTCCGGTTCCGCTTTGCTCCCGCTCAGACCCGGGCCTGAGCGCTCATTCCCGGGGGAAGGAAGCCCGGCTTTCCGGGCTCCTCAAAGCCGAGCCAGGGAGGGTAGAGACACGGGGGTGGGACCCAGGGATTCTCCTGGTCCCGGGCTACCCGCGGTGTGAATTTGACGTGCGGGGGATAAAGGACCAGAAAGTTATGGCCCTTGGAAACCACCGGGGGACCGCGCGCCTGCCATCCGCCCAAGAGCGCTCATTCTGGGGGAGGAGAGGACCGCAGCAGCAGGGTCAGGAGGCACGCTGCTCCATACCCCCGTGCTTACGGCCATACCACCTTGAGAATGCCCGATCTCGTCTGATCTCGGAAGCTAGGCAAGGTCGGGCCTGTTTAGTACTTGGATGGGAGACCGCCTGGGAATGGCTCATGACCCCCCCAGGTACCTATCCTGAGATCGCTCAACCTTAGAATCAGCTTGATCTTAGTTATGTTTCGAGGTTTGTGGTTCGAGCCCAGGTCTTGCCATTTTTTGATTTATGTAGAATGTACTTTTTATTGCTCTTAGTTGCGTCTTGAGGTTTGCGGTTCAAGCCCACATCCACCCGTTTTTATATTAATGTAGATTTGACCATTTATTGCTCTTAGTTGCATCCAGAGGTTTGTGGTTCGAGCCCAGGTCTTGGCATTTTTTCATTTATGTAGATTTTACCATTTATTGCTGATTATCTTGATAATTTAGTTTACATTTGTGTTTGGCAATCAAATAGACTTGAATACTTTCTCATGAATCATGGCATGAATTGTTCAAAGCACCCCCTGCAGAGTTCTTACCTTGTGGAGCACGTTCATGTCACACTCCGTACTGCTGTAGAATAACACATTCATCTAAACAGACTTCAGCTTTATCTGTGTATGTATTGTATGTGAACAGATGTGTAGTATTCTTTTTTTTGTATTTTATACTGTAAATGTACATATTCACAAATATGTATATTCCTGAGCATCTACTTCCAGATTATTCTATTCTCTCAATAAAGTATAAGTCTAAAGGCTGTAAATTAAGCATATTTTTAGAATGTAGGAATTGTATTGACTTTTATAGTAGTAAAGCCCAACCAGGGACAGGAGTTGTCAATTAGCATCTGTTACAAACTATATTCATCACATTAGCTGCAAGCTTTGTTTATGACTGTGTCTGCATTGTCCCTGTCAAATAATGCATAAATACTATTGAAAGTAATATTGAAAATTTTTAATTTTTTTTATAAATATCAGGCAAATCCAAAGCACATAATACAATGTATAGCTTTCAAAACACAAATCAGAGAATATCATTGTGCTTGTGCTTAAAGTGTTAAAAACACAGAACCATTGGTCCATAAGGAGTAGACACAAATGTCATACATGTTTTAGAATGTTAAAGTGTCCTGGATCATCACAGTCCTTTTTGTTAGACACCAACTGTCCAATAGACCCTCCTGCATAAGAAGAAAAACTCTAAAACCCAGTGGGAGAAAAGTGAGAAACCTCTGGGGACCAGATATTGAGAAAGGGATCCGCTCCACATGGACGGACGGGCTATAGATCCAGGACTTAAACTACAGGGGGGGGGGGGGGGGGGGGGGGGGGGGGGGGGGTCATTCTTGCAAGTGCTGTGGAGACATGCTCCTCATCCAGGACATTCTCTGAAGAGAGGAAAAAACCATCACATTTGAATGTCGATATGGAAGCTGCCGTCCCATATGCTAATTTGTTAATAGTCTGTAATGTACGCATCATTTCCACCTGTAACAAGGCCAGTTACAATAATTATG